ACACATTTAATTTAGTTATGACTTACGAGCCGTGGTGGCGCAGAGGTTAGAATGGAGTATTGCAGCCTAATTCTGCTGACTGCTGATTGCCAGCAGTTCGGCAGTTTGATTCTCATTGACTCAGTCTTCCATCCTTCCAAAGTCAATAAAATGAGGACCCAGATTGTTGGCAGCAATATGCTGACTCTGTAAACCACTTAGAGAGGGTTGCAAAGTACTATGAAGAGGTATATACGGTAAGTCTAAGTGCGGTTGCTATTGCTATTACACTGAAGCTGGAATGCATACATACAATCAGTTTCCTGTTCTGTAGATATGCCAGAGATTTCAACAGTAACTTGCCATTCTCTCATCAAAAAGAAGACTCATATTCTTTGATTTATGTTCCAGACCCAATGTTTATTGTAATGAAAGTAAACTTTAAAAAAAAATTGCCTTAATCCCCAAACCATTTTTAAAGGTGAAGACTGAAACCTGGAATTGACATTGCCATAAAGCCATTTAAGGCTGATAGCATCTTTTGATTTTGGCAGATATAAAAGGTATATAAAAGCACACATTGAAATCAACTGCATGCCAACTCTAAGAGATAATTCAGTACTACAGTAATTCAGTTGCACATTGCTGTCAAATATTGCAACACATTCATTATCAAGTATAAGCGTAAACTGCTTTCAAGTTATACTAAATATTCAAACAATCATTTAATATAGTCCTTAATGCCGAAGATAATCGCGGGGAACAAATTGATTTTTGTAGTCAGCAAATATTTTAGTATTTGATTATTCCCCCCAGGGCTGTGAATTGTTCAATGGTTGTTTCTTGTTTGTCCAGAATGTCCCTGATCATCTGTTGCTGGCTCACTAGATATTTACTTTAGAATAACACCAGAATACTCGTATAGGGTGAATGCAGAGATTGACTTACCTATCAACTAATGTCACATGTTAATTGTGAATTATAAAGCAGCTAACGTCTCTTAAGTTTACAGTTCTAGTTCTGGATCCAGTTCACTGGAGTTTATAGTGGACTGGACAATGGCATTTTTGATTCTCTTTCTTTCCTGCTATGCTTCCAAACTCAACAAATCTTTTTCTGATTTTCTCCTGCCCAGCCTTTTATTTAGAGAAGCAGAGAGAGAGAAAGAGTGTGTGTGTGTGTGTGCATTACGTTTCACTTTGTACATCATCCCTTTCTTTGTTCTGTACGCAGCATTCCCAGAGCTTTTCTTACTGCTTCTGAGGGATATTTTCCCCTGCTTTTTGTTAATGTGGCCAAGTAGTTATATTTTTTATAAAGTTATTTCGATGCTCTAAACCTAGGTTTCCACAAATCCTCTATCAGCCTGCCTGTTCCCCCTGATTTGCTGCTGGCATGCCAAAAAACAAGGCCCCATTTTTTCACGATTTGTATAATTTGTAATTAGGTTTCTGGGCTTGATAAGAGTTACATTTCTAGAAAAAAAATGTGTGTTTTGTGATGGACCACATCTAATGTATAGCAGCTGCTGTATTTTGTAATAGTGCTTGAAGTTAAAATTCTGAAAAAAAAACCAGCTCCCCAAATTTGGATGCTCCTGTTTCAATTTCATTTGAAACATTCTTGAATGTCTGCCCCCAATATTGTTTTTCTGGATTTTATCAATCTCAGTAACAATATAGAAAACATCCCATTTCATGCCCAATAAAACCTTTTACTTACATTTAATGTCGCTGTGAAATACTGTAGCATAAAACAACCCATGATCTCAGTGACAGTCAGGAATAATCTACCCAAGTCACTCTATCCATAAATATCCATATCTATATGCTTGTCTTTCTGATAGCTGATAGAACCCTTTGGTTATATATTTAGTGAGGATATAATATAAGTACAGTTAGCTGAACTGTGTGAATTAATCTCAGGCTATAATACATTCACATTTGGGAACTTCGATTACAAAATATATGGATATGATTTTATTGTTTGCACCTGCTTGAAATAAAATATCTGGAATGCAGACCTTGACTTTAGAGATGCATATAATTTTGAAAGAAATTCAGCAACAACCTGAGGGTCAACCAGGCTATAAAATGAGGCTGGTATAAAAGAGATCTTCCACCTAGCTAATGAAATTGAAGGAGATCAGCTGAGAAGCAAAGTGGATAGAACTGATTCAGTGGCAATAGCAGCAAATTAGAGCCTTTAAGGAAGGCAAAGTCAGATCCCTTTTGATTTCCTTCAGCTTATATGGCTTAGTTTGTAAAGAAGAAGAAAAAGTCTGCTTTATTTTCCCCTTGCAATATTTTCATTTAGCAGAGGAGTAGCGAGCTCTGCTTCTCTCCTCACAGGCGGGTTGCATTTGGAACTGGAAACGCGCTTAGACGCATCAGTACGATCTGTCCGGCATGCCTAAATTATAGGATGTGAACATAAACAGCACAATCAACACCATCATTACTAATGGAACAACATTATACAGATCTTTTCAGTATTTTGCATGTCGTTTCTCTTGCTGAGGTGTGGGCAAATTTTAAGAACAGTGTGAAGAAGTCTCAGGGCACCTAAAAAAACCCTCACCCATGTGTTGGGGCAGAAGGTTTCTGTAAAGCAACGCCCGATTTCTCTTTTGGTCCCTCATCTTTATTCTCATCTGCTGGACAGCCCCCCCCCCCAGTGCAGCCTTTTCTGGTGCAAATATAGATAATATGTTGCCATGGAATTAAATAGTTAACTAGTAATTCCTTGATGCATTTGGAGGCTTGTCAGGTTTAGGAGCTGACCTCTTTCAGGGCTTAAAGATAAGGTAAACATAAAGGTTCCCCTCGCACATATGTGCTAGTCATTCCAGACTCTAGGGGGCAGTACTCATCTCCATTTCAAAGCTGAAGAGCTGCCCAAAGATGTCTCCATGGTGATGTGGCCGGCATGACTAAATGCCGAAGGCGCACGGAAGTCTGTTACCTTCCCAACAAAGTGGTCCCTATTTTTCTACTTGCATTTTTACGTGGTTTTGAACTGCTAGGTTGGCAGAAGCTGGGAGAAGTATCGGGAGTTCACTCCATTATGTGGTGCTAGGGATTCGAACTGCCGAACTGCCAATCAACAAGCTCAGCGTCTTAGCCACTGAACCACCACCCTTCAGGAGTAAGGATGAGGGGAGTGAAATATAAGGTTAAACAGTTTTCCACTTCTTACAATTGGGAGAGATAGGGAAGAACTTTTTAAAAAAATAAAGAGTTAGA